GTTGATTGAGGACTGATTATCGTTTTGTTACCGCTCATATGTGATTTAATAGTTCAAGACTCAAATCGCGTGATTGAAACAGAATTATGACATATGCTTCAATAGCGAACCATATGAGGGGAGTGTGTGTCGGAAACGTCTTGTTAGCATGTTGCGTGACAAATAGGGCATAGCGATTTCACATTGATGTAAACTGAGCTAGTAGATAAGGATTAACAATTACCGGAAATTCCTGTGTGACCAAACTAAGATAGCTAATACAAGAATAGGATCGAGTAGAATTATGGACAGTTCGAGAATTGTACTTGATGTGATTAAATGGTGACTGTGTGATTAAAATACTTCTAAGACATCTTGTGACTTTTGGAGAGCACTAAAGTAGAGGGGACATTCTCCAAACTGTTAGATCGGGATCATTAGCAGCTTTCCTGTATAGCCATACTGGAATGATGTTACATTGTGCACCAGTGTCGGACTGAAAACGCAGGTAATTCCCAGATGAAAGCCATGGTGTCACAAGTTGTTTGTCATTGAGCGTGACAGCTGCAATGTCACCAACCACATATATTTTATCTGAATCGCTGCCAGGACCAATCTCTTGATCAACAGCCTTAACGCTTTGAGTTGTGTGTGGACCTTGACGTTTTCCACTGCAACATACCGCTGCAAAATGATTACGTCTACCACAGTTATGTGTCAGTCAATTCCAGCAGTGCCCATCCCCCCCCCTCCGGGCTAACACTGAGCATTAGCATTTTTTTTAAATAAATGGGCAAATTCCCCAGGGTAGGGACACATAAGCTGTCTTAATGCCCCGGGGTGGGGACGAAGAAAGAAGGCAAATGCCCCACCCCTGGGATTGTCGCCTTCCAACACGCAGTTTTTTTATTAATCAGTGGATAAAACGTTCAACTGTTCAGTATTTTAATGCAACAGTAAGACTTCAAGGACAACAGTACGTGTTGGTTGATTCTGATTATGTTTATTTCTTTATATTTGTTTTTAACAGTTTGCTAGAGGATAGCTAGGATCGCGGCGGACGTGCCTCCAGCTGCGAGCGATGATAGGTGCCTGTTTTCGCAGGCTACTTTTTCTGTGAAGAATCAAGACATTTAAATGATGATGCATTGCATTTTAAGCTCGCAAGATCTGTCTTGAAGATCGTATCATTTGAATTCGCAAACTTTAAGTATTTTAACTCACTTTCATGAATATAAAAAATGCTAGGCTAGTTTTGAATGCGAAATGCAAAATAGTCGTGTTCACGTCAGTGATTGTTTTGTGATAAACAAAATATAGTTCACCTTGTCGCNATGTGATTAAATGGTGACTGTGTGATTAAAATACTTCTAAGACATCTTGTGACTTTTGGAGAGCACTAAAGTAGAGGGGACATTCTCCAAAACCTTAAGATTTCGGAATTTCTTAGAAAATAACGTCCACGTTTAGAAAATCGTGAAGACTCACCCAAACCAACGGAAACGTTTATTAAAATCATGTCCTCGTTTGGGCTATTAGAATTCTTGCGGAAACAAATTTTGTTTCCGCTGGTAGTTGGTTCGACACTCCGGAGCCAAGTTTCTGTTATTTTGCTTTCAATTCAGTCTGCTTTTTCGTATATAAACGCTTTAAAACTAGCAGGTACCTCTAAATAATTAATGGAAAACACTGGACTCAATTTTGGGAAATCGTTAAACGAGCCACCCTCTTTATGCTGAAAAACGTCCACACTGCGACGATTTTATGCAGCTAACTCGTCCGGAAATATTATGTCGGCAAATAGCCCGGAAGCGCTGGAAGCTCAAGCTAAGAAAGATCGGGACGATACACAGCTTCGCCTGTCGCTGTTCGTTTGTGCAGTTGTTGCAATAACATGGTTTCTTGGAGCGTTCGGATTTTCGTTCGTGTGGACTGGTTTTATCATACCGTTAATCTTTACAGTGTGGTACCGCAAAAATTGCCGCATCATAGATGATCGCGTGAGAGAGGCCGAAATCCAAGTACATCGGAGAAAGGCCTTGCGAGACGAAGAAACGGCGGAATGGCTTAACTTTGTCTTAAATCGATGGTAAATATGATACACGCGATAATTAATTGTTGTAGCTTATAATTTTGTACGTGTAGTTATGCTTTCTTTGCAAAAAGTGACTTTTTCTTTTGAGATGATCACTTCTTGCATGTGCAACTACATCTCGCAGGTGAAAATGTTTGTGTTGTAGTATTTTGAAGGCCGCTTTTTTGTTTGGGTGGATTAAACGGGTATTTTCTATAACCGTCCAGGAAACTTGCTGCTAGCAACGTCTGGAAAAGCACTGAAACCTAACAACTGGAAACTCTTTTGTCAGGCAAAACCGACACGGTCATAGAGACGTGATATTTGTTTCTTTATTTCCGTTAATTCATTGTTTTTCTAACATTGTTTAATTTTAATACAAATGGCTGGTCACTTGGTACTAAACAACACAGGCAACTTAGAAATTAGTTCTACTGTTAAATAAACACACTGCAAATTCTTTTCAAACACTTGAGGAATTTTCCAATCAAAATATCGTATGTACACGTTGTTCAACATCGAGTATGCTGAATCTTGGTACAAAGTTTGTACTTTAACGCACAAACGCTTCCAAATAAACAACTCCAAACATTGTTGTGGTGATACCTTTACATTATTGATAAGCTAACGAGCCTTTCGCCAAAAAACCTCTTGTTACAGGTTGTTTAATACTCCGATATTTCATTGGTTTAGTTCAGTTCACTGGATTAGATGTCCCTACTGATTTTGAAAGTTATTTTTGCGTTAATGTAAATTAGGTCTGTAAAATGATTTGCGGATCCGCCCAACAGAACTCAGTGTACGATCGTGCATGTACCTTGTGCAACCTAATGGCGCATTTAAAAGCACGTCCAATTTTGACATATTGTAGGCGCCGTTGTTCTTGGAAATCGTGAGAATTATCCAAAGATGATATATTAAAACAGGGTCACGGAATAAAAATGAGAGGTTCGGGAGAGAATGTTTAAACGATCAGGGGGATTTAAATTGTTAAAACTAAATGAAAGCCTCAAAACGCAGCGATAACATGAAGAGAAGAATACGGTGAAGGAAATACTGAATGAGAACGGAAAACAGAACTTAAGGTGGCTCTTAACAGTTTCCAACATGTTTCAGCACTTCTACTTTAATAGATTAATACTGCTGCTCTTTTTCAGTTGAGTTCAGTCATGTCAAGATTAAACTTTTTACCCGATTAGCCTGAAAAACATAGTGGCAGCGGATTCAGAGGCCTCTTAAATTTTCGAAAACTGCAGGTGGCTATGAATACACATCTCTTGACAAAAAGTTGCATTTTATCATGCTAATTACATTAGATAATAAATTTTTGGGCCATTAGGCTCGTTTCGCGATCGAAACCCATAAAGCTAACATTCAGGGTGTTTAAACGGATTGTACTGTTGCTATGGTAACCTTTTTGCTCACCAATGACTGAGCATTTGTTTGATACCATTATAGCATCAAATGTAAACGAGAGATACCATTGAGCCATCAAAGAAAAAAGGCTGAAAAATGCTGGAGTTCGTTACGAGCCTTGTTTGATTATCATTGACAGGTCATCAGGACTTATTTGCAAGGATTTGCGCGGAGCTTTTTGGCCTATTTAACAAAGCTTTTATAAGTTAGATTTTCTCCAATGCAGTGCTATCATTTTGCCTTTAAGGTGGAATTTTAGCGAAGTTTCCCTTTGCAATCTTGTCCGTTCGAGTCTCAATCCTGTTCTGGATTACAGCAAACCATCATTTATAGGTAAGAACTGTTAAAAGATCATTCCTCTGTCATTATATTAAGTGTTATGTCGGTAAGACAGGACTAGTACTGTGGGAGTAAAGCGGTGCCTTGTTTAATGATCCGGTTAAGTCATCTTTTATTTGTCAACAAAGATGTTGACCACTTTTCACGATTAAAATAGGTAGTCGTATGCAAGAACAATTAAGGATTTGCACCACGAGTAACAGATGAAAATTCTCTCAAAATATTACGAGTATTGTAAATCTTTAATTACTCGAGCTCTCATAGGATTACTCATTTATTGTATGACTGAGAAAATTACGAACGCGCGCGCGTTAATTTACACTGCAAATAAAAATTAATGATTAATTGGCCTGCTCTCAGTTGCCACAAAAAGTGATTTTCTCAGTCACGTAATGAAAACGGTTAATTAGAGTCAGAATATTTAACTGCTAGCGGTAAATCTCAGGGCCTGATTGTCCAAAAGAGGGTAAAATAAACCTTGGATTAGAGCTAATTCGAAGGTTATAAATTTCTTTGCAGAGGCTATGGAGTTAACGGAGTTCAGCTTTGGAAAGAAGACACCGTTTTTGAAATACGTAAAAGTGTTTGAGAATATCGACGAGAACGAGTCACCCGATATACCCGCCTCGGAATCGAATGCTTTTAGTCCGCCGTCTGACATGGCAACGAGGCAGAGGCATTTGCTAGTGCTTGTTATGGATCTGTGTTTGCACGCACCTGATACTAAAATCGCCATCAAAGTCAGATTAGGTGGAAAAATGTAAGTGTGCAGTGTAGTATCTATTACGTAGTGACTAAAGGCTTTTATGGGCTAAGCAGTGTCTCGTGCAATTTATATCGCAACGTTTTAGTTCAACAGCTGATGCGCACAAGAAACTTCGTTGTGTTGCGTACCGATACCAAGAAAAGGAAAACGCATCACGTAGTTTGATATAACACAGAAACTAGCGTTAGTCAACATAGTTGAACCGACAAAACTAACGCCGGACTTCATATAACCAGTCAGGGGAAATGTTAAAGCTTCTTCTGTGTATAACACAAGTACAAATACAAGTTCTTACACCATCCCTTCATAATGACTTGCACAAAACGTTGTACGAATTAGACCCAAGTGTTGGTCTCGGAAACGCTTGAGCAAGAAATGTTGTACAGTGTAATTAAATTCTTCTTGTGTAACTTTATTGCGTCAGTTTTCTTGACGACGCAGTAGAAACGGTTATTTCATTTTCTGTTCTGGTATAATTTGTGTTCTCCAATTCTTTACCTGCTGATATAAGACTACCCCCCCCCCGCAGAACGGTAGATTCATTTGTGTTTATGTGTGTGTTTTGTTCGTTTTCAGGGTGGGAGCTGATGTTGATGTCAGTATTGAGGACGTGTCGTTATCTGGTCGTGTTCAGATTGTGTTCGAAATGGATCATCTTGTACCTTTTCCACACATGAAGTCTGTCTCAGTGACTTTCCTTGAAAAGTAAGAAACGTTTGATTAAAAAAGGGACTCTCAACTTATGGAACAAATTCACGTTAAATCTTGTGGAAAGTTATACGAACAACAGTTAATTATGGTTTCAATTAGATATTCATGGCTTTTGGACAGCGGTTATCATGTGAGTGTCGAAAAGTAATTGGCTTTAAATAAAATATAATAAAAAAAATCGACGCTACACGACTGGCAAAAACAAAAACCGCGCCACTTTTTCATCCAATCAAAAGCAAAACCAATTGTAACTCACTCGTACTCGTTTTCCCGCGCTTTGCGTCAGGTACATGTAATTACTTGGAGTTTTGATTGGTTCACTGGATTGTCTGTGTCCTTTGTAATGGGCTAGAATAATTACTATATACGTAACAAGTAACTGAATTTGGTTTGTTACATGTATGTGGTTCTGAGACCCCGCCGGAAGTCGAACCCAGAACGTTCTGGTCATCAGTAATACTCTCATATTTACCTCTTAACAGACCGGACGTTGACTTTGATGTTCGTCTAATGCGCGCCGTACAAGTGATGGATATTCCTATGCTAAAGGATTTCATCAATGCTCTGGTTATGGACAGTTTGACATACGGTAAGAAATTAAGATTTACTCCATCCTTCTCCCGCAAGAACCCTCAAGGGAAATTTACAGAAGACGGGGATGAGGACGCGCAGGGAGCCTTATAATTCTCCTTTCCGAATCCCCCCCCCCCCCCTACATTTTATCCTGGAAGCTCTATAGAGGAAAGCATTTCAAGCTGTTACAATTCTGTCTGCATGTGTAAGTCGTTGTAAAACAACAGAGTTGAGGTGCTATTTTCTGATTGGACAAACTGAATTTGTCTTGAGAATCACAGTAGTTTGTTTCAGGTGTTTTATTCTTTACCACAGCACTCGTTGATCCTGGAAGAATCCAAGTTCCACTGCATGGTGTTGATCCTGACGAACTGCTCAGTGCAGCTAAAAAATCTACTTACGGTGAGTTTGCCACGTCAGTGCTCTGCAGGTTATCAGGTTTTGCACGCGATTAACAACCAGTTAGATTCCATGAACGGAGTCTTATAAGTGTTCCAGGTATACTATGTTACTATGGAAACAGAAAGATTCATTAACCTGCTTAAAACTCATAAATTAAGAAGAAAAATTGATTTGTCTTTACTAATTTAGCTGATGGAATACTGACAGTTACGCTTAAAGGTGGAATGCCACAGAAATACACAGGTAGGAAGAATTTGGAAATGATTTTCTCCAATCATTAATAGTTTAAACAAAGGCAGTCATGACCGTGACGTTGATCTTAACTGTCAGAGATTTTTACGATTTCATTTCTCCGTTTTCTACTTTGTTGTAGTTTCGATTGAGAAGATGTTTCATACTTAAGACCGTGTTTGACTACATTTCCAAACACCTCGAACTTTATCACAAATACGCCGCTGCGCGTCGTATTTTCAAATCTTTTTTCGTTGTTTTGGAAATGTAGTAAAACACCGTCTTTCGTGTTTGGTATATTACGTCATTACTAGGGACAATTAAGAAGGTTCATTTGTAGCTTTGGTTTATTTGTCATTTTGGTTCATGTGTATTTAGTTTTCAAATGATTGCCTGTTATTAGCTAGAACTGTATTTTCCGTATATTTGCCTTTGTGCCTCTGTAGTCAGTGCACTCGCTACTAAGGATTTCCATGCCAATCTGGGGAATTTAAAAGATATCCTTCGCATTCGTTTGTGCAGATGATCAGATCTGGACCTCGCTTGAAGTCGGCAATCTTGACGAGAAAAGCACTGAAAAGATTCAGGGTGGAACGACATTCGAGGAATCCATATCTCTGCTTATTTACGATCTGGCCAATGATAAGGTATGTATCTACGTGCTTGAAATACTGTACATAGTACACTTTTACTTAGTTACTAAACCCAGCTGCAACTTTGACGGAAAATGAAAAATAGTCCCTTTTATACATTTCACTCAAAAACTCGCTGAGATCTCAGGACATTAGTCAACCATTGTTGCCTCAAGTTGGACAGCTTTACCTTAAGCTTTGTCAGTTTTACCTTGTGAACATATAACGAGTGTTTTTATTGACCAGACCACGTGATAAAGACTCAACCAAAGCTACATAACGGTAGAGTTAAAATAAATCACACAAAGTAGCTTTGACCTATATGTGCTTGCTTTTCGCAATGACACTTGATTTTTGGTAGATTTGTCTTTCGTTTTTATTAACAGCTCAACATTGAAATACGCGGTAAAAGAACTTTTGGTACCAAATACTCCATTGCAAAATACAAGATGTTTTTGGGCAGTCTTGGGCTGGAAAAGAAGAAAAAAGTGTAAGTTAATAACAACATGGCTACATAACTTGATAAATGAGTATTTCAGTATGGCCTGAGGAGAACTCAGAAGTCATTGTGTAAAGCGCACAGACACACGAATCTTTTAGACCATTCTGACCTCCAGAGTAAGATCATAAAGCGGTCTTACAGATCTGAAACCTCGAGTTCTGCCGTCGTTTCCACCAAGTTGGAATTTGGGGAAAATCTGCTCTGGAGAAATGTCAAAAATAAGTAAAAAGCGAAAGAATTATTCTTTGCCTCTGCATCTCCATTACAGTGAGACAACACTGAGTAAAGAAGGAATCAAAGGATCTAAGTTGGAAATCACGTTAGAGTACACACGACTGAAGCCCTATGAAGTCAGCAGCCGTACAGATGTGGACGAATTCCTTGAAAAATACGAGAAACCTAATGAGGAAAGTCCAGGTGAGATTGATGACGGAGAAAGCTTCATGTGTCCTCGCTTGTTGCTGAGTATCGTGGTCTCGGCAATTCAAAGACTGTGACTGGATTTTTCATGTGAATAACGAAATTGGCCGCTTTTAAGAAACACGTTGACCAGAATCGCAACTGCAGAATTAACTGTGAATTTTATTCATGTTCTACTATCCAGCGGACAGCAAGGACTTTCAGATACTCTGGTGCGCTTCATTTTAATAATTTACCCACTACNACCCTATTGGTGATGTCCAAACGTTTTACCCTGTAAATGAATGGTGACGTAAAATTTTTTTTCAGCCTTTGTTATCGTGAAGTCCTCAAACTTTGTTTAAGATGAACGTCTTTTCTATTTGTATGGTTGTGTTCCTTAGTGTCTGGTCTTCTTCTGGTGGTCGTACACAGTGGTGAAAAGCTTCTGGCAATGGATGATGATGGTTATAGTGACCCTTACTGTATAGTAACCGCCAACAAAGAAAAGGTACATCATATAAGCGGCACAGATAATCCGTCTAATCTGAACAACTTATTTAAGACTAATGTTTTCGAATTTTGTTTAACAAGCTCGGAAGCTCTTTTAATCCAAGCATGCAGAATAAATGCGTTTTGCTTTCAACCACTCAAGTGTAGAACTGAAAGCAAAAATCGTGACTTGGCCAACACGTTTTTCGACACCAGTTGTATGTATTTACCATTGCAACCAAACCTTTTCAGTTTGACTAACCAGGTATGATTCCTTTGGTTGACATTTATAAGAAAGCTGTTCTAAAGCAGTGTTACAGTCACCACCAATCTGAAAATCACTAATGTCGTACATTTTTTTCTGGCAGGTAAAAATCACACCTCACGTGTCAGGATCTGTTAATCCCGTCTGGGATTCTGTGGTGGAGTTTCTGGTCAAAGATTTCACAAAGGTGAGGGACAAGCATTTTAGTGTGAGGGGATATCTTCCAGATAGAGTGATGACAAACTTTTCAAAGAAAACCTGTATTTTTATTGTAGTAAAACGTGAAGTGTTTGTTGTTTTTTCAGACCAGCGTCTCCTTTTTGGTGTATGACCGTGATGTTAATTGGCAAGGCCAGTCAGATGACTTCATGGGTTCGTGTAACCTGGAAATGACCCTAGTGAGGAATATGCTACTTCAATCTTTGATTCTCCAGAGCTGAATTATAGAAAATAAGTGAAAAACATTGAGGATAATCCTTATACTTGAGATAACTGTAGAGGTTGATGAAACGCCCGTGTGGTGACTGATGCCAATTGATTCCTAATCGCAATCTTTAGCCTTGAACGTCTTTAATGGCGGTTTTTCCACTTTAAATCGATTTAGAATCAAAGTAACGTCGTTAATAACAAAAAAAGATGAAATGTCGAATTTGGTTCAAGCTAAGAAAGCAGCCGGATGCCCCTCTTGCATTGTTTCACTGCGTCGTCAAGTATCCGTTAGTCTGGCGGAGTGAAACATTACACGAAAACCTCGGCTGTGTTTGCGAGCTAAGTAGAGCTAGAAAAAGACATAAGTAGAAGTCCATTTATAACAAGCAAGATTTACATCTATAATCTTTATCTAGCAGCATTGTTGCCTAAGTGGTGGCTTGGATGATAACCCTGGAACAACAGCAGCAAACAATGCTGGAAAACAGTAACTGTTATCATTTTCGCAATAAATCCTCCAAAACAGGCTCCTTATGTAAAGTTAATGATTAACTATAACGAATAAGCAAAACACTGGTTCAGTCACTTCTGTCTGATTCCAAGTGAAAAAGAACTGTTTCCTTCGGTTAAATTTGTCGTTAGAAGATTGTGTTCAAATAAGAGTGTCTTTTTTTATGCATTACAGGAAGAACCTGTGATCATAAAGCGGAAGATCGAGTTGAAGTACAAAGTGTACGGCAAGAAAAGGTCAGAGGATTCTACCATGAACGCAGGCTCGCTATTAGTGTCAGCAGTGTTTCAGCCTATCGAATCGGTCGGTAAATCAGGTGAGGTAACGACACAGTTTGATATCAGTTCAACAAAACAGAACTCAGACTCCAACACCATAACTGTCAACACTTACGTTACATTTTAGGGGGTTTAGCAGGTTCTTATCATGACAGATCAATAAAGCATAGTTTTGGAAAAGCAATGAAAATTCAAAAATTCCTTCTTGTTTGTTGATATGTGTGTCTATTTTTGTCAAGTTTGTTTTTTGTTTGTTTTCCAGGAACAATTTACAGTGTAACTTTTGCTGTGATTCAGAATTATCAGTAACGCAGCAAGAGCTTTACTGTTGCACACTGTCTAGTTATGCAACGCTTTCGAATGGTATCCCACAAGTCACTTGTATTGTCACGGTCTAGACATAAGCCTTTAGGCGAGTATGTATACCAACAAAATACAAGTGACAAGACCACGTTGCATAACTATTTTATACCATGCCATAGAAAATACAGTGGCCAACACAAACAATGCGACGTACGCGCAGCGCATGATGGGAAGATTGGGTGTAATACCGTCGAATGTACAACGACTTTCCTATATTCTGATTGGCTGTATTTTCTATGGCACGGTATAAAACAGCTTGATCTCTTCAATGTTACAAACCATGTTGAGGACAAGAGAATAAACTGCATTTAACTGTATTTTTGTCATTTGAAATCCAGAGAAAGAATCATTAGCTGGTGGAGTAGTGGATGGTGAAGACATCGATGAAATAAACGTGAGTTTACTTATGTCCTTCTTTCTCGTATGCCACATATTTACCAACGATAGGTTGTTGAGGTGGCCCACTTTTCCCTGCGCTTTGCTGTGAAGCCGAAGCTCCCATATGCTTTGAGTTAGGCTCTTGCGTAAAAGACTGGTTCATGGACATTCTATGACACCCTTACACCTGTCTGTAATAAAACAAGGAGGAATGTGAGGGAACTGGCCACTAGACAGATAATTGCCTGTGTTCAAGGCCCCGTCCTCACTGCGCCTGAGAAATTTAGAAACGTTATTTTCACCTTGAAAACGCATCAAATGTTTTTCGTCCACACTAAGCTAGAAAAATTTAAAAACGCAACAACAACAACAACAACGCAAACATCTTGGATTTGCGTTTGAGGAAAACTCGGGCAGGGAAATCACCTGATTATCGTGATGTCATCAGCCAGTTTTTTTAAAAGCTTCGTTTTCAAAATGTTTCTCGTCCACACTGAAACGCAAAGCCCCTCGTTTTCAAATTCCTCCGGTTAGAAGAGCGTTTTCGAAAAGCTCCGTTTTCGTGACGGATTAGTGTGGACGGTAGGCCTAACCGTAGAAATAAAGCTGCGTTTTCAAATTACTAAGCCGCGGTGACATGAAATGTGACCACTGCTTTTAAATGGTTTATTTTATCGATTGAACGCTAGGTAATAGGTTTGAGAGAAAACATCAAGTAACCATAGTTGTTTGAACAATGTTTTTCTTTTTTTTTTTTGTACATTTTAGGAACACGCCAAGAAGCACACGATGAAGAGCAGTATGAAGATCAAGAGACAAGTCGAGGAAATGATGTTAATCAAAGGTAAATGTTAACGTTACGCCATTCAACTGAAGAGGTAATTTGGGCACTTAACAATTTCAGTTTTTGTTTCCCCAGAGCTTGGAGTTTTGGTGATTACAATTCTTCAAGGTAAAGACATGGCTGCTATGGACAGCAATGGTAAGCTAGCATGGGGTTACGTTTTTAGACAGATAAAGTTTGTAACAGAAGGCTGGCGTTTGTAAATAAGCTGCGAATGATTTGCAGTGCTGGCGACCTTACTTTACGTTCCTGTTCCATTTGGTTCTTGACTCTGGCTTCTGTTGCATGAACCGACCAAGGATAGTGCTAACGTCAATCCACTGGATCAGATGATAGTCCAACGTGGATTACCTCCACCGCACGAATTTTCTCCGATGAGCTTTATATAGCCTGTCCCGGGCTCTCGGCCAGTGGGGACGATCGAAAAAGCGGGCGGGCGACGAGCGAGGTCTGGGAGAGAAAAAGGAGAGAACTCGCTTTCTCGGCAGACTAAGCTTTATATTTCTTTGTGTCAAGTTACGTTCATTAACTATGCCACTTCTGTTCTCGTTCCAACGAGAGTTAATGTTAATGTTTGATATCCCCACAGGTCTAAGTGATCCATTCTGTGTTGTGCGAGTTAATAACGCGAAGAAGTTCAAAACCAGCGTGGCTTATGAAACGCTGTCTCCCGTGTGGAATGAGTCTGTTTCCATCGCCATGCCGCAAGAGGACGACAAGATATCCCTTGTAAGTTCACGTCCTTGTTCTAGCACCTAGTGAGCATGGTCGCACGCCAGTGGAGGTGATGTGAGTTCCGTTTGATGTTTATTGCATGCGTCTGTTCATTTTAGGTCATTTCAG